GAAATTTAGAACAGTAACTAAGTGTTCAAGTTGAACAAAGTGTGCAAGCCAAAACACAGTGTTTGTACATCTTTAAGAGGCTGTCTCCGTAAAAACCTCCAGGTTAATATGGGGCTCAAAAATAGATTTCTCTCATACTCTAGTATTTTGAAGATCTATCCTTGGGAACAACTAAAATCGATTTCATTTTACTCAAATTTCCTTTAAATTATTTTGGGGGGCGATTGAAGTTCGATCGGCTGGTAACCAACTTGAACTCCGAATGAAGGCAAAATATCGACATATTTTCAGCGCTATTTTTTAGATCAAATTCATACCTAAATTTCAAAATTTTTCCTCAGAAATATAGACTTATCCTTCTATTTTCGTTGGTGATATGACTTAGATAATTATTCTTTGGTATAAAATAGAAAACAGCGCAGTTACTGACCCTCCTGAACGGATAACGGATATCGTCTCAAAATATATCAACTTTGAAAGCTTATTTCAAAATCGTGGCACTTGATTGGCACATGACTTTAACTTTTTTATAAACTACTAACATTAGTCAACACAAATCACCAATAATATCTTTCTGCTAATACCATTTGACAAAAATGACAAGCGCGCAAACTTTGTAAAATTTGAAAATGTGTCGAAATCGAGCATACTTTATCGGTAAACGTAATTGTTCATATTAACAAATAAAACCACCTTACACTACACTGAATGAAGCCTGATTATGTAAATATATGTCTTTCATCATTATTCTTTGGTTTTGCACTCGAAAAAAATTGTTTGAGTACAGTTTGGCTTCCAGGATAGTCATTCAATGCCAGTGTGTTCGAATTCTGCGCGCCTCAATGCCATGAGTCCTGATTGTGACATACGAATTTCGCTCTGTTCGCTTTGTTTACCTCCTGTAAATAAAATGTCTCAAAGAAATTAGAAAATTCAGAGTTAGGCATACTGCAGACATAATTTTCATTGGTTTGTTTACCTTAAACTGTTATATAAAGTTTCGTTTTATAGAATGTACGAATTAATCTCGGGGAAAACCCCTGGCCGAAAGAAATGACTCGCTGAGCGTAAACATGTCAATCAAAGCATATATAGTTAATATCAAAGACGATGAAATGTTTCGTTGCTCTGTGATTTCCCTTTCTTTGTATTGCATTAAATAGTAGTCTTAGACAGTATTGCACGAGGTTTTTGTGTTTACAATATTGTTCTTTTCTGTACTAATTCGCGATTACATATGGTGTTGACTACTACTACAGCCGCAATTTGTGGTCACGCAACGTTAGGTAAACGTAAATGATTTCGACAGACAGTAGATTTTATGTTGACAGATGAGAATGACGGTAAGCAATAATGTAGAAATGTTCCTTTTCTACTTCTGAGTGTGGAAAATTCCGAGACACAGTAGACTGTTCTTCGAAGTTGCTGGCGTGTAAGAATGACATTAGTTATCACTTGCAAATTTGTCACCTTTTAAAGCTGTCGGAAAGAAGAATATAAATTAATTCTAATTTTCAGAACCTTTCTAATTGTTACCGAAAAAAGGAATAACATTGATTAAATAACTGAGACATTCAAATGGGTTACAGCTGTTTGCGCTGAATTGTTTTGTATTATATCAAAATATTCGCATATTTTTATACAATAAGAAATATAAATTCTTGAAGCTTAGCCTTGAGCAAAATGACCCAGGGCCATGGGTCGACCAGAAAAATTTTATATACAGAACCGTGACTTATTTGAATTCTAGTTTCCATTGATAATTGTTTCTAAACCTAGAGTTGCTAGAAAACTATCCTGAGCGAAACTAACGAAATATTGACATTTGACATCACAGCGAGTATACATTTCTTTCGGCCAGGGGCTTTCCCCGAGATTTAATTTTATTAAACAGTTTTAAAAAAAAACGATGAAAATTCTGTCTGTAGTATGATTAATTCTGAGTTTTCCAATTTCATTGAACATTATTATTTGTTAAACATGCAGGTAAAGGTATTTGTTAAAGAGGTATAAACAAAGCGAACAGAGTGAAGTTTGTATAGTATGTCACAATCAGGACTCGTGACATTGAGGCGCTCAGAAGACACTGGACACACTGGCATTGACTCTATATCCATGAAGCCAAACTGTACTCAAGCAATTTGATTCAAGTGTCAAACCAAAGAATAATGATGAAAGACATATATTTACATAATCAAGCTTCATTCAGTGTAGTGTAGTGTAAGGTGATTTTATCTGTTAATATCAATAATTAGGTAGTTTACTGATAAAGTATATATGCTCGATTTCGACACATTTTCAAATTTTACAAAGTTTGCGCGCTTGTCATTTTTGTCAAATGGTAAAGCAGAAAGATATTATTGGCGATTTGTGTTGACTAATGTTAGTAGTTTATAGAAAAGTTAAAATCATGTGCCAATCAAGTGCCACGATTTTGAAATAAGCTTTCAAAGTTGATATATTTTGAGACTATATCCGTTATCCGTTCAGGGGGGTCAATAACTGCGCTGTTTTCTACTTTATACCAAAGAATAATTATCTAAGACATATCAACGACGAAAATAGAAGGATAAGTCTATATTTCTGAGCAAAAATTTTGAAATTTAGGTATGAATTTGATCTAAAAAATAGCGCTGAAAATATGTCGATATTTTGCCTTCATTCAGAGTTCAAGTTGGTTACCAGCCGATCGAACTTCAATCGCCCCCCAAAATAATTTAAAGGAAATTTGAGTAAAATGAAATCGATTTTAGTTGTTCCCAAGGATAGATCTTCAAAATACTAGAGTATGAGAGAAATCTATTTTTGAGCCCCATATTGACCTGGAGGTTTTTACGGAGACAGCCTCTTAAATTAGAGAAATGATTATTGGGCTTGAGAGTCGATTATCATTTTATTTAAATTGAGATTAAATTAATAAACTGTGCATAATTTTCAGCAACTTCAACACCAAGTCATCATGAAAAGAAACCAACGCCAACAACAAATCATCCGTCTAAACATCTTCGACAGCGTGTTGGTGGGGTCATATTGGATCATTTTATTGTACTGGTATGTGTTGTTGTCTTGGGAACACTTGCAGTTGCGTACATCGTTTGGAAATGTGTGCATCCAGAGCGGTGGCCTACCTATACCGTTGCTGCATATTATTTGCGGATTGGAATAGAAAATACAGCAGTACAATCAGAAAATACAACCAATGGCCGAGATAAACGACAGTCACCAGGCGCCATTCAACTGCCGATCCGTACGCAGCGAATATAGGAAAAAGAATGTGTATCAGATAATTCAACAATCAAGAGCCCATCCATTCTGGAAGCGCATGCACTTTCCTCTCCAGATGCTTATCATTTAGTCTTGGGGGCTTTATCAGCTAACCTTGAGGGCTTTCAAACATTTTTATTAGCCCAGTTAAATGAAGTCTTGAGAGCGAGTGAGAGAGCGCGCAAATAGTAACTTCCAACCCTTAATTTTCAATGTGTTGAAACCTCACGCGTTGTCTCACTGATATCTACTTCAAAAGGCATTAATAATTCATGAGGAAAACACAAAGAAAAATCATAAGCGTGTCGTATCTTTATATGTGATAGAGATTTACATAAACTTTAACTTTGATTTTCTCGACTTACCAACGTATTTTTTGAAAATTACTTTGCCAATGAACTTACTAGATCGATCGTTTTTTGAAGCAATTTAAAACATTCGCAGTGCGTGTTTTATCAGACCTAAAGATACTAGGCTTCGCCTCGTATCTTTATATCTGATAAAACGCTGCTGCTCATGTTTTAAATAGTACGTATGCATACCGTCGTGTTGTACCGCATGTCTTGGTGATTATAAATACAATATAAATGTCGCAAGTTTCTGGACGTGTACCAAGTTGTACTGACGAGGTGTAGAACGCTGAAACATGCATGTCTGCCGATTGTCTGCTTTAAATTAATGAAATACTTCTAAAACAGTATGTACCACACTAGGAGGCGCATCTCTTCTCTCGTCAGACGAGAAAACATTCCATCTAGGAAACTGCACCTATATACTAAAATGCGCTACGACACAGAAATTTCAATCATGCACAAACTAGACTACATGAAGGAGACACCACAACAACCACACATAAATAGGCAACGCAACATCATTTGGTTTAACCTTCCATTCAGTAAGAGTGTCAAAACCAACAAAGGACGCAATTTTCTTAGCCTATAATTGACAAACATCTTCCGTCTCACCACAACCTTCACAAATTTTTAACAGAAACACTGTTATGGTCCGCTATAGTTGCATGAACAATGTGGAGGTTCATAATTACCCTACAATCCTACCTAATGCATGTATAATTAGGAAAAACCAGACAGAGGGATGATGCAGACAGTTACAACTGTAGGACTAGGAAGGCATGCCCACTCGACCAGAAAAAATGCAAGACTAAGGACATAGTATACAGGGCAACTGTCACAACATGCAACACAAACGGCATATAAAGCACTAACTACATCAGCATGACAGCAAAAAATACTCAAATGATACAGAACTTTTGAAATATATTAGTTGGAAATTAAATGAAAACAAACAAGATTTCGACATAACTTGGTCAATACTTGGTCAATATGACTAAAACCAACTGTTTCTTAAACGGGAGGATAAAAAAGACGTAACTTGTGTTTAGAGAGAGAACTCTGTATTTTGAAGAGAAAAAATAAGCAACTTTTATTGAACAAAAAATCGGAAATAGTTTCGACATGTAATCATAAAAAAGAAATTTCTAGTAAACAATGACAACAATGGAAGAAATGCATGTATTGTTTGACGCCCACACGCCTGCGTTTCCGACCGTAAACATTTAAGCACCCCATTTTTCGAAATTTGTCAGCCACCTGATGATTCCTCTTGGATGAAAGAGGCTGTTGTGGCACCTTTTGAGGTAAAAACAATATATCTGCTCTATCTATATCTTTGTTTAATAAAAGTGCTTGAAAGCTCCCTTAGATTGATAACCCTTATAGAAGTTCTTATGTCACGCAATGTGGAATACTTGTTGGTCAAATATTCTTTGTCTGGCAATCCAAGGTATGCGCAATGCAATGTGGGATACATGTATGTTTAATATTCATTATCTGACAGTGACGTGACGTAAGGACTTCTAAGATCAATTGATACTCTAAAAACACTTCGGTTAAATTTGGGATAATTCAACCAGGATGGGGTTAAAAATCCACCTACACAATTCTGGTTAAAAAATTAACCATTTTCCTGATTAAAAGTCCAAAGAAGTATACCAGATTTTTGTTGAATCGAAAACAGGAAATGTGTTCATAAATTTAACCAGGGTTATTGACTCAGCCTCCTGGTTAAATTAACCACAGTGTTTTTAGAGTGTATATGCCTTAGCGGAACAGAACGATGTAGGCGACTTATACCGGCCCTGCAAGCCAAGTTACTCTCCTATGATGTGTACGTATATACAGCCATGCAGGCAAACTGTGTGTTTACCATGGAATCGAGATACTCTGCATTTAACGCTTCGCATTGTCGACCTCGATTTATTCTCATGTATTTTGAACTTGATTATAATTCAAATACAAGGATTCTTCATTCTATATATCAATATACCTGTATATAGTGGAGCGACAGCGTGCTCAGAGAAGAGAATTTTGGACTATATATAGAACAAGTCTTATTCATTCCAAACAATTCATTTGGCTTTCGTGAACATTGCCGTATAGTCGTATTATGAAGTAGAATAAAACTGACACACTTAAGAATGTAATATCACATCGAGGCCAATTATGTAATTTGGTAAGCGTATATACTTGATGTAAAGCGCATGCATTTGATCATATCCATTATCCACATGTAAATTGCGCGCTATAGAAATGCTAATCGTAATCGTAATATATTACTGTTTGTTGGCATAAATAATCTTATTTGTAAACTAAAATGAGTCAATAATTATTGAGGGCTGGGCTCCCGCGCACAAAAGTTGTAATTATTTTTAATACAAAAAAGCCCTATCATATACGTTCTCAGTCCAAATTTGCGCCATGCGAATTGATATGGCCGACCGGGTTAAATTTTAAAAACTCGTGTGGGAGACGGAGAATCACTAAGTCTGTTAAAGGCTGCTTCTGCGATAATAGAGGCGTGGTGCAAATTCTTTGACGCAAAGTCTTTTCTAAAGAGCAACTGTGCAATTTGGAAGCGATATATTCACTTTTTGTCAATTTGTTAAGTCAGTTTGATAAAAAAACCTGAGATGGTATAGATAATTTTGTTTAAATTACAATGTTTTTATCGATGATACTTTAATTTTGCACCTACATGTCACCTGCATGGCCAAGTGGAAGAGAGACCATTACTTGAGCTGATGGTCGCCACGACCGTTCTTATACCGGCAGAAACGGCGGGGGAAGGGGGGAAGATTAGATATTTGGACTGAAAGAAATACAAATTTTCTAATCCTGTCAATCACAATCTTTTAGATTAATGATGAGCTTGCCGTTCTAAATTATCAATTCTGAATGATCTAACAAAATTTTGCGACTAAAATGGGTTTGTTCGTGGGTGTATATTTCAAAACTTGCATCTGCAAAGAAATAGTTTGTAAAACCTATAGGCCACACGTGCGATTTTTCTCTCGCACAGGCATATATAATTAATAATTTCCCCGGCGATAATTCTGGATATCACAAAAGCCTCATCCAACAACTGTTTATTATGCGGCCAGCTGTTTAGTTTTGCAGGTTGCACTACTGTGGTTATATTATAGGTACAGCTAGCTAATGCTATAATGAAAATTGAATTTACTATAATTTTCATGTTGTTTCAGAAAGTAAAATGTAAAAACCTGCTCACTTGTAACTACAATTAATTACCCTAACCCTAACAAAACTCTAAAACTTTGCGAGGCAAATTAACCCAACCATCAATTAACTCGACGTTTGAATATTGAAGAGTTCTGCGCACTTCTGGCGAGGGAGACACCAATTCTTATTTGTTATATATCAGTAGGGCCCGTTGGTTCGAAAGCCGATTAGCTTAATCTTAGGTTAACGAACAGTTCCAAAGCAATCTTCCCATCAGTTTGTTTAGAAACATGAAGATAGTTTTCCACAATTCATGTCTGGATCAATAGGCCGATTCTATTTTCCAAAATTTTGAAATAAACAGAAATTCAAACGTAACCAAACTAAAAGAACTGCTTCAATTTTAACCCAAGTTATCCAGCTCTGAACAACTGGCTCAAGGTCTGGATGAAAAATTTAGGGGTTACATCGCTTGAACAGTTTTAGTCGTTGTCCGACCAGTATATAATTGAAATGCAAATTAAAGTTACAAAACGTGATTAGTCAGCGTCATCTTTGTATAGTTTTAATCACAAGACGAACGTGCAAGAGATTGTTCCTATCAAAATCGTAACCAAGAAGAAATTCTTCAAAATGTCTAGTTGTCCTAAAGACAAGTATTACTCGTCGTTCCTGGACACCTGTGTTGAGTGCCCAGATCTGATACAAAAATGCCGCAATGAAAGTCCTATTGACGCGCAGTCATGTAGCAGATATTGTGCAGGTAATGTTGCGCATACTGTTTATATAGTCGCTTTATTTGATTTACTTGATATTTTATTCAACTTATTCGTATAATTGACCACATTAAACTGGATCAATATATATTATTTTGCTCAAATTTGAAAGTTACATGCCACGACTGCATATCTATATGCTGAATTAATTTCTTTTAATACACGACATGCTATACGTCTGTGCTTACTATGTCAGTTGACTGTGCACGGTACAAGTAATTAAAGCAGGTACTGTAACCTAACTTATACAGAACAGGCAGAGTTTGAACACTGGTCTATTTGGTATTTTTTGTTAAGATATTAATTAGAATTTCTCGAAAACGGTATATTGAAGAATTTTCGTGTTCGCTAATGGGATTCCCCGAAAGCCTATATACAGAGGGTTTCCCCCTTCCCACCAGGTTAGTCGCGGTTCAGTGAATACGCGGATTTCACAATTTTCAATACTTTATCAATTTTCCGTTTATATTGATAATCTTATAAAAAACCATCATATAGCTGAGTTGTGGTACAAAAAGTTACAAAGAATGTTTTCAATGATAAGCATCAAGAGATTATTTCACCCATCACATATAGAGGCGTTAATTGATCGTCTTCAAAAGTAGGAGAAGGACGCTTAAGGTGGCTCGATACTGTTTTAAAATTGGAACATTTGTGATTTAGGTCCGTATTTTTGAACAGGTATTTACTTGTTTCCCTTACTTCTTTACAAAAGATATCTTGTGCTTAATGTAAAACAACATCTAAGGAGTTTGACATTTTTCACAAAAGTTACGCAACTGCCGTAGCTATGACTGTAATGACGTTTTAATATGGCTTACATTTCGGGCTTTAAACATCAGTTAACTCGTGAACGATATCAGTGACCCTTAAATATTATTTCATTATAATATTATTTCATTTATCTTGATAATACTAAAAATATTATGTTTAGCCAAAATGTTTCAAATTTCGTCAATGTAATTATTCATAATAATATTTCTTGGTTCAACAAGCCTTTTAAAATTAGAAAGAAAATGTATGTTCTAAGAAAAATCACTTATATGATTAAAATTTCGGGCTTACCGACGTTGTTTCCGATTTAAATTATTTTAGAGCCAGCTACCATCCATTGGACGGACGTGAAAACCTATCTCAGGCTGAATCGATTTCAGAGTAACGTGGCTCGTTGAAAAGAGAACTCCCCCCTGCGCTCTCGCCGACATCTCCGAGTTCGATTGCGTTGCCTCTGGTGCAAAACGGTCCCTGTTTTGGTTAGGAAAAAATAACCCGTTTCCCTTTCGATAGGCGATCTACGAATGGGAAGCTTTTGTAACGGAATTTCTATATCTCTTAGGATCGACTAATCCATGTTCAACTGCTGTTTACATGGAATTATTCTTCACTCCAGTATTCTGAATATATGCATGCTAGTCATAGTCCTTTTCATCTTTCCCTCACGGCACTTGACCGCTATTGGGATCGTGGGGGTCAGTGGGGGAGGGAGGGGGAAGGGTGCGAACTTTTATGAAAAGTTTAGGCCCATACGCGGGATAGTCTAAATGGCGCGGGTCGCGAGTCAATAGAAATGGCGCGGGTCCAGCGAAAATGGCGCGGGTCCAGCGAAAATGACGCGGGTAACAAGTTCCGAGGCGCGAGTAAAAAGTTCCGAGGCGCGGGTAACAAGTTCCGAGATCAATTGCCCGGTACTTTATATAATTATTAAAGATGGCGGCTATTTTGACTAAAAATTCTGCAATTATTCGGTCAAATATCGTCTCATTCTGTGGAAACTCTGCGAGCTTTAAATTTAAAACTAACAGACATCAATTAACTTAAGTAAATCACGTTTGGAGGCGTTATACTCAGCATATTTTTAAACACAAAGAGAGTGGACAGTTGGAAATGGAATATTTGGAAGGAGTCCGCTGTCAGTATATTTTTATTATTAATATACTAATACTAGTCTGTTAATAATTACTGTAAGGTAAAAAGATAATTTGTCTAAATTCTCCATATAATTTTGGTTAGAAAACCCCCACAATATTCTTAGCATTTTTTACGGCTTAAAAATTATAGTTATTTATACCGGTCTGTCCAGTAATCAGTATTAAAATTTAATAATTTATGAATTGCCTGATTTTATTCACATGTCATGACATTTTTTCTGATTTAATTATATATCAGTTTGACATATTTCTGAATACCGTACATTTTATAGCCTGGTCGCTGAACAGGGGCCCACAGCAGCCAAAAACCTGATAAACCAAAACCATGTGGCATGGTAACCCCAACAACCCTCGCCTGACAAAAACTTTGGAATACTTGAACCGAGTTGAACGCAAATTTAGGGGCCCTTGTATTTTTAAATTTCAATAGTAAAATCGTCAGGCATTTGACAGTCCAGAGGCAGAGTAAATTTCTAAAGTGGGGAGAAGTACATGCTAATATCTAATAAATTGAGTGTGAACCTGCCAACTAAAATAGTTAACTAAAATAATGTTTAGCAATGATGACAAATTATTGTTTAATAGCTACATGAAAATTGTGTTTATTTACACCTTGTTTTGACCAAATCCATCTCATTGGACTTCTATGCGGCTTGACAGGCTTTCAAGGTAGGTTCCTCCAATGTTTTTCGAATGTTTATATTGTAAACATTAAATTATTACTGTTAAACTGTTTATCATTGACATCATTGCAAAAATGATTAATTAACCCATTGAGTGGCGCGCAGGATTCTCCACTTGATGAGTAAAATCGTCTGGCGTCAGACAGAGTAAATACTTGAGTATGGCGCATCAGGGCACATTCATTGCCACTTAAAGGGTTAAATTAAAAGAAATGGGCCCCCTTCTGTGGGCCCCTGTTCAGCGACCAGGCTATAAAATGTACGGTATTCAGAAATATGTCAAACTGATCATATAATTAAATCAGGAAAAATGTCATGACATGTGAATAAAATCAGGCAATTCATAAATTATTAAATTTTGATACTGCATGATTACTGGACTGTCTGGACAGATCGGTATAAATAACTATAATTTTTAAGCCGTAAAAAATGCTAAGAATATTGTGGGGGTTTTCTAACCAAAATTATATGGAGAATTTAGACAAATTATCTTTTTACCTTAATTATTAACAGACTAATATTAGTATATTAATAATAAAAATATACTGACAGTGACTCCTTCCAAATATTCCATTTCCAACCGTCCACTCACCACTCTCTTTGTGTCTAAAAATATGCTGAGTATAACGCCTCCAAACGTGATTTATTTAAATTAATTGATGTCTGTTAGTTTTAAGTTTAAGAGTTTCCACCAAATGAGACGATATTTGACCGAATATTTGCAGAATTTTTAGTCAAAATAGCCGCCATCTTTAATATATTAAAGTACCGAGCAATTGATCTCGGAACTTGCTACCCGCGCCTCGGAACTTTTTACTCGCGCCTCGGAAATTGTTACCCGCGCCATTTTCGTTGGACACGCGCCATTTTCGCTGGACCCGCGCCATATAGACTATGCCGTCCCAGTGGTATGTCAGAATCTTTATTCAGCACAAAATGTAAACCTAAAAAGATTGCACAAGTGTTATATTTTGGCCAGGGGTATCAGCTTACTTAATACTTTATTTCTTATTCTTCAGTTTCTTCTTGCATCAGGAAGATATATTCAATTTTGTGCACACTTGTGTTATTTCAAGAATCTTTTTGCTCCCTAGAAATGGTCGATACACCAAGCCTGGAGGCCGATGATTAAAATAATATTCTACTATTATCAAGTTGTTCATTTGTTAAGAAATTTTGTTGGCCCAGATGAAAAAGCTAGATCAGTTACTTGATGATATGAAAATTGTTTTATCCAGAGCATTCAATTTTATTATTATTATTAATATTCCTGCCTTTCATTGTCCATTTCAAGATCTTCGTCCTCCATGTTGAAAAAGCGATCATCATTCATTCTGTAGGATATAGCTTGTTAGTACTGGTATGTTTATTGTACGTATTTTTCTACTTTAAACTGAGGGCCAGATCAACACACTGAAACAACGGAACATATTCATATTCCTAACCTGATAGAGAACCCTTTCGTGGATCGTGTTTTGGGGGCCTTTACTAACAATTCACTCCTAATATACAATTCTCCGATTCAATTGTGTCTTTCTCTGCTTTACTGTGTGCCAGTTTCAGGCAGCAGCCAAGTTTTATTTCTTGATGGTCGTATTAATTAAAGGCTTATATTGATCGAGCGTGAGGTCTGTACTTTGAAATATCAGACCGAAGTCTAGTACAGACCGAACAAGCGAGGTCAATAATCGGTTTATTATATGGCTGAACTGAGACTGTACGGTGAGCATATGCTTTTCGCGCGAATTAAATCGTCATAAAACAGGCCTTACTTTTGGCCGTGAAGTAACTTTATTCGCCCTTTTTGTCTTTTTGCTTTGGGAACATTTGCTTTTGGTGAAGCACGATTTTATAACTTTAGCGGGTCTGTGGCTTTCAGTGAAGCATTTTCGTTTGGTCTTTGGACTATTGCTTTTGGATTTAACTATATTGCTTTCATGTTTCGCTCTCTACTGTGGTTTAAATAAATTATTATAAAGCCCATGCAGTCCAATTGTTTCCGACACTCCAGTCTAGTGTCTTCATCAGGGGTGATCTAAAGTTGCAATCTTGGCTTCGTAAATAGAGACCTTACGATTTTAGGACGGCAACGCGACGGCAACGGTTACCAATACAATAGATCATTGAAAAGAATTGAGTAATTACACTGCAAAAATCAATTTCTTGTTTTAAGAAAATATTACTTATTTTAAGCACAAAATTACTTGTTTTAAGAAAATTTTACTTGTCCCGTGGGTAAGTAAAATATTCTAGGTAAGAATCAGATTTCAAGAAAATTTTTCTTAAAATAAGAAAA